ATATTTCCGAAGTGAATTTTAGTTTGCTATAGTATGACTAGATTTCAGATCAACAAGTCTAGTTCATATAAACGAATGGATCCTAATACTGAAACGGATCGCGATACCGAAACGGATCGTGCGGAAGCTAGCTATACATAACTCATACATAGCAAAGGGCCGTTTCAGTTTAGGTTTAGTAACAGACTGGAGGCCCCTAGCGGAGTTATCGGACTTTCTACACGGCCGAACCTAGCGGATCCTTCAATACCATTCTTATAGGCGGTATATTCCAGCAGAAATCACGCTCTCAGGTGATACTAAAAGCCCTAAGCCTTTTCTACGTGCTCCAGCACGCCTAAAAGTGACTATAGCAGCAAACTAGACTAGGTCACTTATTGATTACTAGCTGCCTGCGCATATCGTATTACTACGGAATATACACATGAATCTCATTCAAGAATGACAATTCGTGGGTTTGGATTCAGCCTTGCAAAAATGCTCTTAGTTGATCTAGAACCTCTAAGCACTGGGCGCACTTCAGTTGATACCACTCCGCAACACTCAACAAATTCTGAATGTTTTATTCGTGGAGGTAAATTGCCATCTGCGACTCCCTGATTATAGTAGCCTGGTCTTATATTTCTGCCTCTGCCTCTTCCCTAGCCTTCTGTTGGAAAATGACCGTTTGTCTAGATTGTTCCAACTCCTCCCGTAACTGATGATTTTCAGTTTCAAGTATGTCCATCCCTCCGCATCCTCCAGACTATTCCTATTAGAGACGAGAAGAAACTCTTAGAGATGCACTCACTATCACTAAAGGAACTGCAAAGAATTTCTGGCCTACTGCGTCACATAGTTCCATATATGCTTTAACTAAGTGCTTACTCAGGTGCTTTTCAAAGAGTGGCTTCAGTGAAGGATCAATGACTTCCCACTTATAAGACAGCTCCTCCGAAGACCGTAAACGGACATCAGAAGGTTGCACCTTAGTTCCCAAAGTCTCAACTAGACTATCTTATTAGTAACACATTCCTAATTTATCGAACTAGGCATACATATATGTTCTGCAAGGCGTGTGCGACATATAGAGCGCCATAAAGCTCGTTTCCTATTTCCTGAAGTTTGAATTTCGTTTTCCATTATATGCCGAAAGGGAATGTTAGGGACGTGTCTGCCTTATATGTTTCTCCGCGTGCCGTTTAAGTTCCGTATATCAAAATGGAACGTCCACACGACTGAAATTCATGGAATTAATCACCGACCAAAAGATTAATAATATTAGCTCAATGTTCCAGACTTGGTATACGAGCAGATTTGATCCTATTTGTCAGAAGTTTGCAACCCGCGGCGAGTAGATAAGCTGAATAGACTAATATCAATACGTCCGCATCATTCTCTAAGTAATGTATTTAACACGTAGAGTCATCTTTCTTAATTTAGTCCATCCGACAAGATAACTGTTCTTAATCTCAGAATGACAGGGTGTTGACATACAAGCCTCCGACATAGCGTTAGAAAGGCTGACGCTATGCATAAGCATATATAGCAATGGGTGGCAGAACGATAGCTCTCTCTTTTAATTTCTCTCTTCTTCTCTTTCGGTCGGCTTCGCTCAGAATGCAGTACAGTCTTTCTCCATCGATCTTCCCCATGTAACCTTCCCAACAGCTTTTATATAGTAGCGACCGCTTTCGCCTTCCATGTCGGACAACGCAGAGTAGCTTATTCAAACCCTAATCACATGATTCTCTAAGCCGTATTTGGTTAACCTCGTATTGAACGATCCGTCACAAGGCCGAATGGTATAATACAAAACGAAGAAAAGGCTAAGTATTGTAAATGACAATTTACTATCACAGCTCTGAGTGACAATACCAGACTCACCATCACGTCATTGCAACACTAACATAAACATCCTGACCTACCGAAAGTTCGCCCGAAAGCTTGACCTCTGGAAACGAATATACATATGATACGACAATAGCTGCAGACTCACTAAATTTCAAAAGGAGACGGCGGCAAAGGGTATTGGGCATTGTAGCATGACTAAATACATGCAATTGGTCGGCAGGTCAGATCTACCTTAGCACGTTACAGGGAATCATTTGGAGAAGATATTACGGATGATTAGGCACTATTTTCCATCTGCAATGGTTGATGAGATCAACGCCTCCACTGTGAGAGCTCGCTGGTACATCTCTTCTGCCTCTTTCAGCTTCCCTTGATCGGAGTAGAGAAGGCCAAGGTTGTTGACTGTATCCAGAGTGGACGTGTGATCTGGACCGAGTGCCTTCTCCTTGCCTGCCAGTGCTCGCTGGTACATGTCCTCTGCCTCTTTCAGCTTCCCTTGATCGGAGTAGAGAAGGCCAAGGTTGTTGACTGTATTTAGAGTGGACGTATGATCTGGACCGAGTGCCTTCTCGTAGCCTGCTAGTGCTCGCTGGTACATCTCTTCTGCCTCTTTCAGCTTCCCTTGATCGGAGTAGAGAAGGCCAAGGTTGGTGACTGTATTTAGAGTGGACGTATGATCTAGACCGAGGGCCTTCTTGTACCCTGCCAGTGCGCGTTGGTACATCTCTTCTGCCTCTTTCAGCTTGCCCTGATCAGAGTATAGATTTCCTAAACCATCGAATGCCCCCAATAACTCAATATTGTCATCTGACCAATCTAGATAACGTACATAAGTGGCGTGTGGAAGAAGCCGTTGCTGAAGCTCTGAATAATTCCTATCACTTGCACTCGGCACAGAGTATCCAACAGATATCAGTGCCAGTTCATTAAGCTGCATCAAATTCACATTTTTGTTTGTGTTGGCAATATGAAGGCACCAATCCTGTACCACCGGATGCATCGCATAGCTTCCTTCTTGTTGCTTACTCTCAAGAAGAGAGAATCCGACGAGAGACTTCACACCAATTTTGAACGCGAGTCCGCTTGATATAGCCTTTTTGAGCCAGTCCGGGACGTTTGAGCTGTGACGGCCACTCTCCACTAACTCGTACCAGATATCACGATTATCAAAACGAGCAAGTAGCAATAGAAGGTCTGCTGCGCTTGGGTCACGCTTTTGGATCTCAAGATATGAGATCATCCATGTTTGCAACATATTGCCTTGCTCGTACTGACGTCCAGGATTTGATTGCAGCTGTAGCTCAGACCAAGATCCTTGATAGTACTGCAAGTACTCAGTAATGCTGGTTCCAGTTTCACGCATAAACGCCCCGGCGACAACAATAGCTAGAGGCAGTCCATAGAGACGATCAGCAAGAGCAAGGACATCTACATATGTTAGCATATCTGTAACATCTATTCATCAAGTGCCATAGTACCTGGATTGCTGTGAAGTCTGCTAGTGGTGTTTCTTGCTGGTAAACCACTACTTTTTAGGAGTAGTTGAATTGCGCTATAAGAGTCAAGTCTGTGAACTGGGAAAGGCTCCCCCCCTAGCTCAGCCAGCCGTAAAGTCGAGAAGTGATAAGAATAGAGCCATGGTCTGCTTTAGGGAAAAATTCCCCAATATCATACCCATCGCCAACAGCGCTGCCAAAGGGGGAGTATTGATCGATATTATCAAAAATGATTAGCCAGCGCGAGTTGCCATCTAATGCTAGCCACCGTAGCATATGCCTAGCTCGTTGCTCCACTTCTCCGTCATCAGTCGCCTCGCTATCCCAACCCTGTCCAGGCAATCGGTTCAAGGCAGAGCTCAACGATTGCAAGAGCGCATCCCGGTTCTTGCCATTCAGCCAGAAGATCGCCGTAAAATCATCTCTATGATCTCGCGCGAAGCGAATAGCTAGCTGCGTCTTTCCTATTCCGCCTAGCCCGTGAAGAATTGCAACTTTCCGTGATGGTGAATCTGTCGGTTGTAAATAATGCCACAGATTGTCTAGCTCGTCTTGCCGTCCCACAAAATTTGCAATCACAGGCACTGCGGTAAGGTCGAGAGGGACATTGAAACGGTGGACTACACACGGAAAACTTTATTTAGTCATAGATTCGAACTAGGCAAGGAGTGATACAGATTGAATCTTAGAATCTCTCACCAGGATCTGCTAGAGTGTCTCGTGCTGTTGGAGTAGTTTTAATCTGATCGATCGGAACCACCAAGACAAGTTCTTTAGCGTAGGCTGCTGCCGCCACTGCCGCATATTGAGATACGCAGAGCTCTGTAAGGTCATATGAACGAGGTTTACGTGACCGTACGGAGCTAGGTGCACGTGACCAGACTAAGCTGGGTGCACGTGACCGCATAGACGTGTATATAGTAGTCTAGT